AGTTTTAAGTGGCATTTCTCTTATTGTGAGTAAAGTTAAGCATATGTTTACAAGCCATTTGTATTTGTTTTCTGTGAATTCTTCCTATCGTTTGCCCAATTTGTTGGGTGGGTGGCCTTAGTATTCTTTATTTCATTCGAGAATCCATTTATGTGAAAAGATTCATTTTTATCTGACTGCTTAGAATTTTAATAAAATTTACATATGTTCTGTGATGCTTCCAGTGTCCTGTCATTGGTTATTAAATTTCTTATGGCATTTTGAAATAGGTGAATACATTGTATCTTTTCTCCAAAATTCAGAGAATGAAGAACAGTAATAAGAGAAAATTCTTGCAAATCATGTATCTGATCAGGGACTTGTATCTAGTATATATAAAAAACTCCTACAACTCAATAATAAAATAATATAACCAAATTAAAAATGGGCAAAGGGCCCTGACTGGTGTGTCTCAGTGGTAGAGCGTCAGCCTGAGCACCAAAGGATCTCTGGTTTGCTTCCCTTGCAGGTTTGATCCCCAGCCCCAGTCGAGTCGTGTACCAGGAGGCAACTAATCCATGTGTCTCTCTCACATTGGTGTTTCTCTCTCTCCCCCCTCCACTCTCTCTCAAAATCAATGGAAAAAATATTCTCAGATGAGGATTAACAACAACAAAAAATGGGCAAAGGATCTGAATAGACATCTCTCCAAAGGAGGTATACAAATGGCCATAAGCACATGAAAAGATTCTCAACATCATTAGTCATTAGATGACTAACGATGACTTCACACTAGGATGGGTATAATCAAAAGGACAGTGTTGATGTGGATAAATTGGAACCTTCATACACTGCTGGTGGGAATGTGAAGTGGTGTACTCACTGGAAAAACAGTGTGGCAATTCCTTGAAAGGTTAAAACATAGATTGACCTTATGACCCAGCACCTAGCGATTCCACTTCTAGGCATATACCGTGGAGAAATGTAAACATATGTCCACACAAAACGTGTACATTAACGTTTATAACAATTATTCATGGTAGCTAAGAGTTGGAAATAATCCAAATGCCCCTCAGCTGATGAATGGATAAATAAAATATGGTATATCCACACAGTGGAATATTACTTAGCAATGAAAAGGAATGAAGTGCTGATACATATTACATACAACTACAAGGTTTCATGGCTGAACCTTGAAATCATCAAGCTATGTGAAAGAAGCCACATCCAAAAGGCCACATATTATATGATTCCATTTATATGAAATTCCACAATAACCACAACTGTATAGACAGACAGTACACTAGTTATCTATGGCTGGGGATAATGGGAGGATTAGGGGTTTATAGCTAAAGAGTACTGAGTTTCTTTTTGAGGTGATGAAAGTGTTTTAAAATTGTGATGATGGTTGCACAACTGTGAACACACTAGAAACTAGTGAATTGTACACTTTCAGTTGGTGAATTATATAGTATACAAATTATATCTCAGTAAAGGTGTTACAAAAAATCATTAAGAGAACTGAAAAACTACAAATTAATCCACTTCATTCCTCAGGTAGATTGCTTACTAAAATTGAACCTGGAAGAAGCCTCAGGTTTCCCTTGGTGAAGATTATTTATGCTTCCCGTCTTCCAACTTGCTTGCCCGTTATACTAGGATATGGCCTCGTACCATGCTTCCTGGTATTATGCAGGGTTTATTATCAATAGGCTTCTGAGAAATTCTATTATGTGTTAGAGTTAAACAATCTTTTTAATTATCTTTTAATAGACTTTCATCAATATTGAAAGCCAACATTGTGGTTTTGTAGCCCTGTTCTTAATAGTAATGGTTTTCAGGGAAGAGGTTTGAAAATTATTTTTTAAAAATTGAGGAAGATGATATTAATAGTACTAATTTCTTTTCACCCTCTGTATTGCTTTTGTGCAAAGGGTCTGTTAATATTATGTACCCAACTAGTATATGGCAGTTTAACATTTGATATAAAGTAGAGGGGGGAAGTAGTAGTTAAATGTATAATGTAGTGTTAAAATGATCACTTTGATTTGGTTTGATATTAATACTTCTGTAGTATGTTGTTGGGGCATATTAATGGCTTTAAGAAGTTGCAGTAATGAAATTTAACAAAGGACATTTCCTAAAACTTCATTAATTTTTAAGTTAATTTAATACCTATGGATTACACTTGAGAAACAATGCTCTATGGAATGCATTACATGTGGGGTGAAAAAAAATTTTTTTTTATTTCTCATCCGAGGACATGCTTAGAGAGAAGAAAGGGGGGTGGGGGAGAGGAACATCGATGTGAGAGAGAAACATCAATTGGTTGCCTTCCGTACGTGCCCTGAACCCACAACCCAGGTATGTGCCCTGGCTGGGAATTGAACAGGCAACCTTTCGGTGCACAGGATGACACACAACCAACTGAGCCACTCTAGCCAGGCTATAAGTGAAATTAAAATATTTTTTGAATGAATTGAAGAGTCTTCAATATTTTGTAAATTTTTAAAATCTGAATCAGGCTTAGAGTGTGGCATCAAACTGAAATTCAAAATAGCCCATTTCCCCTTAATGCATCTTTTTTTTTAAGAAATGAAAGTTTTACATGTATATTATTATTATTATTATTGCCTTTGAAATATTGGGGCTACTTTATTATTTTTAAAATTATCTTTATTGTTGAAAGTATTACAGATGTCCGTCCCCTTTTTTCCCCATTGACCCCTTCTACTTTTCACCCCGCCCCCCAGGCCTTCCCCACACTATTGTCTGTGTCCACGGATTATGCATATATGCATATAAATTCTTTGGTTAATCTCTCCCCACCCATCCCCACCTTGTTATTTTTAAAGTTTCATGAAAAGCAATACTCCTCTCTAATCTCTCTCCCGAGAGGAAAATATTTCTGTTTTGGTTCTTCATAAATTTTGAATAATGTATAAGTTACAACTTTTAGAATAAACCTTATTGAAGTAAAACATTCATTCAGAAAAGTATACAAAGCACAAATGTTTAGGCTTAGTGAATTTTCACAAAGTGAGCATCAGTGTTGCCCCATCTAGATCAAGACATAGAATATTACCAAGCACTGCATAAGGTCCTGCCCTCAACAGTAACCACTATCCTGATTTTCAGCACCGTCGATTTTAGAATATTACCAAGCATTGCAGAAGGTCCTGCCCTCAACAGTAACCACTGTCCTGATTTCCAGCACCGTCAATTAGCTTTGCCCGTTTTTGAACTTTATGTATAAATGGTTTCCTAGAGTATGTGTTCTTCTGGCACCTTCCTTGCAACAGTCTGTCTATGATACTCATCTGTGTTGCAGTATCTTGAAGTAGTTCATTCTCATTGCTGGATGGTATGAACATGTTAGAATGATCCATTCTTCTGTTGATAGAAATTTGGGTTGATGCAGTGTTGGGGTAACTACAGATAGTGTTGCTCTAGACATTCTTAGCCTTTGGCTGCACATATGTACACACTTGGGTAAAATCCTAGGACTAGAATTAACTGTTGGAAGGTATCTATATTGCTAAAGAGTTTTTCAAAGTGGCTGTACCAACTTGTTCTTTCAAAAGCAGAGTGCTTGATTTATCAGCATTAGACTGTAAAAGATAAGGATTTATTTCCCTTAACCTCTCTATTCCCTGCTTTGATACTTTAAATTATTTTTAGTTCTTCAGCTGGATATTATTATAACTTGAAATAATCCCCGTTCTCCTATTAACTTTGGAAAGTAGCTTTTGTCCACTTGTGAGATTGTATTATTAAAAAAAGGAAGAAGCTCTCTTTCACACAGAGAGGAAATCATACAGAATTTAAATTTGTGCCACATCATATGACCAAGCAGTGTTAACAAGGGGGAAAACCAGTAAATAAATGGGGTTAACAATATGATAGAAGAGAGAGTAAGATAAAATTACTGATTTGAGTATAAAATACTAGAATAAAGCTATCTTTCCCATGCCAACTATCTATATTAATTAGGCTAGGGATAGCTCCTTAAAACATACTCAGTTTTGTGGCTTAACATGAGAGAAATTTATTTTCTTGCTCCTCTAATAGTGGTTTTGGTATGAACAATTTGTGGCTTTTTGTGTCTGGCTTTCACACAGTGTAACGATTTCAAGGTTCATCCATGCAAACTTGTAGCTTAATAATAGTGGTATGGATGTTTTTTGTAAGAAGGGTGAATTTCCTTATATGTACACGGGATTTAGGGGCCAAGGCTGCTTTCATCCTGTGGCTCTGCCATCTCGTAGGGTCTTGGAGACCTCTGCATTCAGCCAGAATGGGGAAAAGGAGGTGATGGAGAAAGAACATGTGCTTCTAAGAGTAAGTCTTGTTGCAGAAGGGGCAATCATCACTTGGCTCACATGCCATTGGTGGGAACTTCACATGGGATTCCCACCTAGATGTAAGGAACTGGGAGATGTAGTCCTTAGCTGAGCACTGGTCTAGCATTGCCAGCTCCCCAGGATATTGGAGGAGCATGGAGTTTTTGCTGGACATCTAGTGAGCCATCTCTTCTGTACCATCTCTTTGAGGATAAGACCAGAATAATTTTTTTTGAGGTAAAATTGGAATTTAACACTATACGTTTGAGGTATAATTTGACATCTGTGTATATTACAAAGTGATCCCCACCAAAAGTCTAGTTTCCATCAAGACCAGAATAATTCATGTTTGTTAACTTGGGATAATTTCACATTCGTTAAGATGCTAATTAAGTAGTCGAGTTTTTATAGGGAAATAAGTTTAGATTTACAACTAAATGGCATTTCTTGCTTCCTTTGGTACCACTTAGGTGTGTGATATGTTTTAACTTTATTTTTCTTGTACTTTACAGTTAGGTCACCTCTCAGTGAAACTTAGGAACTACCTACCATATTTGCATCAATTTTACAAACTACTGAGAAAGAAAAAAGCTGTCCACCTATGGTGTGCTGTTGGTAGTAAACATCGATTATATTTGAATTGACCCTCGTTCCATCTTTTTTCTCCCTCCCCTCTAGCTTGTGATTGGCACAATGGAAGAGGCTGGAATATGCGGGCTGGGGGTGGAAGCAGCTGTGTTGCATAGCTCCCAGTCCAACGATATTCTTCCGCATCAAGACTCCAATTGTGGTGGAACAAGGAGCCAACATTCGCTGGAAGAGGATGAAGGCAGTGACTTTATAACAAAAACCAGAAGCTTGGTGAGCCCAGCATACTACACGCAAGAGTCAAGAGAGGACATTCCTGGGCGAGAAGCTAGAACAGATCCCCCTGATGGTCAGCAAGATTCAGAGTGCAACAGGAACAAAGACAAAACCTTAGGTAATAATCTGTGCTCAGTGGTTGGATGTTTTCACACACAGCTCATCTATTTCCATTTCCTGCCACACAAGTGATTATGAACATGGCCTGTCATGGCCAGTGTTGAGGTAGATGTTTAACATGTCTAGTCTTCAGTGAGGTCCGGCTGCCTCTCTGCTGCAGTTCTGTGCAGGAGGAGAAGATGGTGAAGATAGAGTAGGAAATTCTCTCTAAATAGTTAAGAACTGGCTTTTGTGAAAAAAATGTGGGGCCAACTTGACAGAATTTGTATTCAACTTGCCTTGTTTGCATCTTTAATGTAGTCTGACCAAAATTTAGAGATATAATGTTACCTGTAGTTCAGAAACTGGGTTAAGACTAGCTTTCAAGGATATGTTTTCCTCTCCTGCCGTGTTTGAGATTTAGGACTAAGAATGTGGTATGTTGAATGTTGAATCTCATTATGAAATCTGAAATTCCCTTACTGGTTGCCCCTATGTTTTTTATACTTATTATACCTAAGATTAACAATGTTTAATTTGTGTGGTTTTCTATATGCTAAATTAGAATTATCCTTCTTATTAAATCCATTTTCTGCTAAATTGGAAAGCTTAAAAATTTATTGAAATACATAATTTTAATTCCTTACAAACAAGACAGATTTCTTCAAAGTCAGCAGCCCCAATTATATGTGTAACAGCAGGTGGAGTCTTAAAAGTTACATATAATGTTACTATGTGATTATTCATAATAGCACAAAAGTCGAAACAATTGTCATCATCAGCTTGTACAGTGGAATATTATTCAGTAATAAAAATGGAATGTAGTAGTGATACATCCCATGTGGGTGAACCTCGTGAAAATTAATCTAAGAGAAAGAAACCAGACACAAAGACCATGTAGTATGATTCCATTTTATATGAAGTGTCCAGAATTTGCAAATCCATAGAGACAGAATGTTGGAGTAATGGTTGCCTGGAGGAAGGAGCAATGGGGAGTGACTTCTGATGGGTATGGGGCTTCTTTCTAAGGTGATAAAAATGTTCTGAAATTAGATAGTGGTGATGGTTGTACAACTTTGTGAGTATACTCAATTGAATACTTAAAAATGGCAAATTTTATGGTATATGAATTGTTATGTCAAAAATACCCAGATGGAGGGTGAGGTTAAAAATCATCATAAAAATTACAGTCTACATTATGGTTATTTCTAATTATATTCAGTAATCATGTTTAGTCATCGTTTTTAAAATTCCCATTGGCCTTGGGCTGAATAAGAGAAGGTTTTGTTACTAAGATTTTATGTGGATAGAAAAGTAGCCTATTTTGAAATCAGCTTGCTTATTTCCTCATAGTCTGTATACCATGTACCAGTCATTTTGATGTTTTTTAATGGTATATCCTACATGAAGGAACATTTAAAAAAATAAAAACAGTACCTACCACCCAGCTTAAGAAATAAAACATTATTACTTATTTTGAAACATCACTTGTCCCCTCCTATCTCAGCCACCTGCTTCTCCCTGCCAAAGTCTTTAAATACTGTTGGTAAGCTCTTTTTCCCAAGGGAAGAGATGGCTTGACATCTTTTTATTTACACTGAACTTGGTTAACACATGGAATATGCTTCCTAAATCATCAGAAGTTATTTAATTTGTGCATAGAAAAAGATGTGTCACATGTGAGTGTGTGTATCTTAAGCAGAGAGTAGCAACTGAAATTCCCTTTGAACTTGCTTCTATATTTGTACTTGGTTAGGAAGAACTTTTTAAAAATATTCTGCCCTTTGTTACTTGCCCTTTGTCTTAACTTGGACATCAGTGGTTAAGCAAGGGAATTTTTAAGCATTCAGCAGGAGTTCTTACAAATAGCCGTGTTAGAGAGTGAAGAAATTTGGGTGGGGTGGGGAAGAGGTGCCTGCTAATCCCAAATTTAAAAATAGCTTTCTTAATTTAGCTGGTAAATCTCTTATTTCTAGTTATAGCATACATTATTTTACTCTGGATGTCAGAACATAGGCAGTGTTATGTAGAATTTGCAGGTTAGATTTGATCTCGTTCTTCCAGGACTTATTTCTTATCTTGTTAATCATCAGGAAAAGAAGTTTTATTATTGATGCAAGCCCTAAACACCCTTTCAACTCCAGAAGAGAAGCTGGCAGCTCTCTGTAAGAAATATGCTGATCTTGTGAGTATTAAATGAAGGGAGTGAGGGCCATATAGAATATAGCAAAATGGGTATGTGCTTGATAAGCTTTTTTAAATGTGATTTTGATGTAGCTTTAAATGTAAAATTATGTTTTATTCTAAAATAGAAGAGAATCTAATTTCTTGGCGCTTTCTTTGTTGCCCGTGACATCATTTTATATGGTTATACATACAGAACATTACCATGCTAAGATACGGTATAAATTTTGTAAAACTCAGTTTGGAGTATTTCTAAGTCAGCCTTTGCATTCCTATGTTATGCTTTTAGTCAGTAGGGATATAGTGGTTCCTATATTTAACTTTTTCCAAGGGAATTCTAGAGTTAAAGGTACTAGCTATTGTGATTGAAATTGTGAGTTGGATGAAATAGTCTACCCAAACAATACTGTGTCTCAGGAAATTTTTTTTTAGCATATACTGTGTGACAGGTGTTCTTTTTTCCAGTTTCTTCCAAAGAAATTGACCTTATTTGTTCTGGGTCTATGCTATTTCAAGTAGCATTAATTCTCTTTTTAAAATTAAGAAAGCAGTCTCAATATGGAAATACTGCCATCCTATTTTAAGCTGAAGTAGGGATAAGTCATAGAACCCTTTGAAGTAAGGGTTTTGGTAGACTTTTAGAATTCTAACATAAATGCTAAAATTAATGCCTTCTGTGAAATACTTATGTGAATCATCATTGACAATTTATATGCATTTTCATCTGTTGTTAAAGCAGTTATTCCATATCATAAACACTATTTTTTGTCAATGACCAGTTCTAAAAGTGAATTCTGTTTATTACTTAAAGAATTAAAGTTACTTTCCCTCAGTTTGTAAAGGGGTCCTAGTAAACCTCCATATAGCTGGCGTTCAGCATTCTGGCACCTTCTGTTCAGAGCAGCAGGAAACCCCTGTGTATCAATGAAAATGGCCCAGAACAAATGCAACAATGACAGAAAACTGTGTGTGTTCAGATTGCGGGCTTTGGGAAAGGAACGCTTCGATTGGCTATGGAAGACAGTCCTTTTTGCTTCCATCCTCATGAGAATCATGCGAGAAGTGGTGGAAAAAGAAGATAAGAACAAAAAAGGGAAAAGAAAAAAATGGAGGAAAGAGTAAAAGACTGAAAGAAAGCAGTGTAGGGTTAGCTACCTGACAACAGCAGCTAGCCATGAATGGGTTAGAAGAAGAAAGGGCAAATAGTCACCTAGGGCGGTCCTCAGACTCACACAGGCCATTGGCCCTTTTGTTAAAAGGCACCTTCTGATTCACTGGGTCTGGGGTGGGGCCCGGGAGTCTTCGGTTTAACAAGCTCCCAGGTGATGTGAGGATACTGTCAACCCTTGGATCACACTTTAAGGAGCAAGGATCTGGGGTGTTTTTGTGTGTGGGGGCCTTGGGGGGCTATGTTTATTTTTAGGCACCAGTAATAATCACTAAATTAATTTTTGGATGTGAAGTGTCACATCCAAAAGACTATTTGTGCTGAACATATGAAGAATGAAATGTGTACTGTTTTCAGAAAATATTCTAAAACTTGATTTAAAAAAAAAAAAGTATTGATTTCAGAGAGAGGAAGGGAGAGAGAGAGAGAGAGAGAAACATCAATGATGAGAGAGTCATTGATCGGCTGCCTCCTGCACGCCCCCTACTGCAGATTGAGCCCACAACCCAGGCATGTGCCCTGACCAGGAATCGAACCTCAATCTCCTGGATCCTAGGTCGATGCTCAACTGCTGAGCCACGCCGGCCAGCTAAAGCTTGATTTCTTGAAACAATACTCAGTTCCTTTAAAAGGTAGAGGATATATGTTACGTAGCAGCGAGACCATCAAGGGAGTAGCCTTTTCCTAAGGATTTTTCAGAAAACTTCCCTTTGCCATCACTGCCCTCTGCCCTTTTTGTGACAGCATCTTCTGACATTATTGATTGTTTTGGTATGGACACGTAGAAACATCCTGTAGAGCAGGTGCACTGGTGCACTGCACCGTATCGGGATTGTCCATTGGGGAGACCTTGTGGCCACCACATTCACCAGTTAACATGGGTTCATGAGATCACATTTCACTTGCTAAGTGTGGATAGCATTAGGGCTCTAACATGGTCCTTAGTATATTAGGGTGCTATTCTTTCCCCTTCCTTGGTTTGTGTAGATTATTATAGCTAATAAGAAATCTTGATATCTGGTTGGGTAGCTATGTCCTCCTTATTACTCTTCTTGTCAGAAGTATCTTGGCTATTCTTGACTCTAAATTCTCTATACAATTTTACAATTTTAGATTCAACTTATTAGTTCCGTGGGGGGGGAGAAACACCTCTTGCGGATTTTGAAGAGTATTAATGGATATCCTTATATGAAAAAAATGAAATTAGATCCTTACTCATCATATACAATGATCAACTCTAAATGGATTAAGGATTTTAATGTCAAAAATTAAGCTTTAAAAATTTGAGATATCATTTATTTAGACATATTAACAGGTGAATATTTTTCCAAACTTAGGTTATAAGGGGAGGATTTTTTACAACACAGAAAGACCTATCAGAGAAAAGATTGCAAGAATCAACTATATTGAAATTAAGACTTTCTGTTCATCAAAAGACATTTTATTTTTATTTATTTTTTATTATTATTTTTAAATCGTCACCTGAGGATACTTTTCCATTGCTTTTTCAGAGAAGAGTGGAAAGGAGAGAGAGAGAAACATTGATGTGAGAGAGACACATCCATTTGTTGCCTGCCACTGGGGCTGGGGTTCAAGCCTGCAATCTAGGTACGTGCCCTTGACTGTAATCAAACCCAGGACCCTTCAGTCCCCAGGCTGATGCTCTAACCACTGAGCAAGCCCGGCTAGGGTGGATTTTACATTTTTAAAGCATTATTTTAAGAAAAGAGGATGACACAACAGACACCACATGTGGCCCACAAAGCCTAGAATATTTACTTTATGGATATTTACAGAAAAAGTTTGCTGTTCCCTGATCTATAGCTACATGTGAACAATCTGGATGACTCCTAGCAATATAACCTACAGCTGTGCTGTCCAAAACAGCCATTAGCCACATGTGGCTATTTAAGCTTATATTAATTTAAATGAAAGAAAATAAGAAATTTCATTCCTCAGTTGCAGTAGCCACCGTAAAGTTAAAACAACTAAAACGAAAATGATTTCTTTTAGGACCACACACAGATGACATAAAGAGGAGAGCAAAGGAGTAGTGAACCCAGGATTCAGGATTGTGGTTACCCTGAGGCGGGGAAGGCTGGGGGCCGCTAGTCCTCGCTGGAGTTACAGATAGTATCTGCAGAATTGGCAGCCTTTTGGAGCTGTGCCATAGAGTTTACAAAGGTATTGCTTTTCCGCAGGAATTTTCATAAAGGCGTTTTTAATAGCTGTAAGGACACATTGCCAGTAAGGATGCTTGGTATGTTTTAATAGGCCACCAGGTGTCACCCTTGTTCTTGAAATCATGACTAGGCATAATTTCATTCTGTGAAAGGTCAGTAAGGCTGCCATCTTATCTGTTAGTGTTGATTTAACCTTGAAATAGAACCATTTGCTCCAAACCTGAAATTGCAGTGATTCCTCTCTCGCAGAGAACCCTTAGTGCTGCTTATGAAATTCTACTTTGGAGAGCCTTTTCATGAAAGTAGCCTGTGTGTGCTTTCAGAAAAGTAAAACTCAACACTGTTGATTCCTAAAAAGTTATCTGAAAAACATCATTTTTTGTTTTCAGTAAGAAAATAGACTAAGATGGTTTTTCCTACTCTAGATTGTTTGCTTACTTGCCTATCACAACTGGAAAAGAGAAGGTTGGCAGAGTAGAGTGGCATAAAACAATTGGAAATAAAATATTACACTAATAATTTGGTTATTAAAAATGTATTCATAGCTCTTACTGTAATTCTTCCATCCATAACTCAAAGGTTTTCAATGTACTTCCTAAATGTAAAGTGCTTGTTATTTTAGCTGGAGGAGAGCAGGAATGTTCAGAAGCAAATGAAGATTCTGCAGAAGAAGCAAGCCCAGATCGTGAAAGAGAAAGTTCACTTGCAGAGTGAGCACAGCAAGGCTATCTTGGCAAGAAGCAAACTAGAGTCTCTCTGCAGGGAACTTCAGCGTCACAACAAGACGTTAAAGGTTAGTTGGTTCATTGTTCTGTTTTTCAGGGGGAACTAACTCAGTTTTTTATAATCACCGTGTACCTATATAAAAAGTCCTTTTCTGTATTTGGAGACAGAGCTACCATCTTGCTTTCTATTTTGCTTGGCCTGATGCTTCTTAGTGTCCGTCATACTTGCTCAGGGGGATCTAGATGAGTTTGGTGTTTAGAGCAAGCTTTCCTGCTTGGAGCCATGACTTAGGAAGCTCAAAGTTGCCAGTTTTCTGCTGAGCATTAATGTAGTTCATTACCATGTATGAGAATCTGACATGCGATGAGAAGTGAGTGGGAACAGACTAGAGGCAGAATGAGCCAGGGAAGGGAAAGCATGTGCTGAGCTCCTCCAGGCTGTTACTCAGCTGCCTTGCCAAGCTGCCCTTGTCCATGCCAGCTACCCAGTTCCTGAGTACTTTTAGAAGAGCACTTACACCTTGGCCCATCATAAAGAAAGAGAGAACAGGCACCCAAAGATTAATTGGTACCAACAGCGGAAGAAGGAAAAAGAGCAGAGACACAGGGTGGGCCCTTCCTCTTACAGAGTTTCGGTTTGGTTTCACTGAGCAGGACTTTATCAGACTCCCCCACCACAGCACACCCCCAAGGCCTAGAATACAGGAGCACTTAGGAGATGGACCTGCACCTTATGTGGGAGCCTATGGTTTTTCCTTTGCTTTTGAACCTTTGGATTTAGATGTTAATTAAAATAGATGGTATTTTTTTCCCCATAGCAAATCAATAGTTTGATTGGACTGGTAACTGTTTAGACATGTAGAAGTCTTTTAACAATGTCTATCCTAACAAGAGTTGAAAGTAGGCTTTTTAAGATACAGATTCTGTTTGTCCTCTTGCTCCTGGGAAGTAGAAGGTATGTTCCAGAAAGTCAGCTGCAAGAAGGTATCTATCTCTTGAGGCTGATTTAAGATGCTGCCTTGTGGAACCAGCAAGGAGGGTATTTGGGAACATAGGTAGAGGGAGCTGGGTACATGGACAAGCTCCTTACTTGTCTGTCAGTATAGTGAATTTTAGATGGTCACATGGCACTTAGAGCAGGGCAGTTTGTGTGTCTCTGATTGTTCCATGTATTTAGGAAAAGCTGCTTGCTTTTAAATGAGAGCCTTCTGTAGTAAATAAAGGGAGGAATTAGAGTTCAGAAGCATCCCTTTAGGGTAGCAGTAAATGAACCCACATAGCAGCAGCTTTTATGAGCATCTTATCCATAGGCCTATGCCATTAACAGAAATTATTTTCCATAATAAGGAAGAAAATATGCAGCAGGCCCGAGAGGAGGAAGAAAGACGTAAAGAAGCAACTGCACACTTCCAAATTACTTTAAATGAAATCCAAGCACAGCTGGAACAACATGACATACACAACGCCAAACTCCGCCAGGAGAACATTGAGCTCGGAGAGAAGCTGAAGAAGCTCATTGAACAGTACACACTGAGGGAGGAGGTAAAGACGTTTTGTTTGTTTCAACAGCTTCTCATTGTTAGCAAGATCTTTTCACCATTCACTACTAAACAAGTCAAACTTGGCACAGGGTGTTGTTGAACTGTTGTGTTTGCAGAGTGGAAGGTGGGCCTCTTTTAGGAAAGGCTCAGCCACCACTCTTTTCTCCCATGTGATACTGGAAGATTGTGTTTTTAGCATACAGATCCCCCCCCTTATCTAGGCTAATAATGAATAAATGGCCATCAAATGCTCCATCTCTCAAGACGTGTGATAATCTGTACAGTCCATACCACCATTGTATTACACCTATGTTTCAGATTTTTTTAAAAAAATAGGGGTTTTAAACTATTTGGGAGGAAAAAACCAATTTCTGAACCATCATACATACAGCCATTGAAATAGAAGGTTTACTGGAAGGATCCATGGCTGCTGATTTTGGTCATGGGCCTCCAACTAAGACTTTTACAAGCTAGTTGAGGAGTTCAGAGGTGGTATCTAGATTAAATGCAAATAGGTGATAACCTGCTTTGTAAGGTTTCTTCTAGAGGTCAAATGGGCAGGGTTAGAGGTGTTAGGGTTTTTAAATGATGCATCTATTCCCTGCCTTTTTAAAATTTATTTATTTATTTTAATTTTTAAAAATTGATTTTAGAGAGGAAGGGAGAGAGACACACACATCAGTTTGTTGTTCCACTTATTTATGCATTCATTGGTTGGTTCTTGTATGTGCCCCGACCAGGGATCGAACCTGCAATCTTAGTGTATTGGGACAACACTCTAACCAACTGAACTACCAGACCAGGGCCTCCTCCTGCCTTTTAAGTTAGTAAAATGTACTTTTATCTGTGTTGTATTCCTTACACAAATAGATTTAAATGGCTGATTCAAATTAAAAAAATAAAAAGATTGTGGCATCTTCTGTGGGTTACTTTATCTAGTTTTCAAGGCAAACCTTAGATTATATTAATTCAGAATTTTATATACAGCCCTTCAAAAATTTAGGTGTTTTCTTTAGTTTTTTTTTTTAAAATCCTCACCGAGGATATTTTTTCCATTGCTTTTCAGAGAGAATGGAAGGGAGAGAGAAAGAGAGAGAGAGAGAAACATCGATGCGAGAGAGACACATCGATTGGTTGCCTCCCGTACGCTCCCCAACCGGGGCCGGGGATCGAGCCTACAACCGAGGTACGTGCCCTTGGCCGGAATCAAACCCGGGACCCTTCATTCCAAGGGCCGACGCTCTAACCACTGAGCCAAACTGGCCAGGGCCAAAGACTTAGTTTTTAAAATGATTTTATTTTTATCACTCATCACCTTTTGCTTTTTCCTTTTCTTTTATGTTTTATCATGGAAAATTGCAGACTTAGACAAAAGTAGAGAAGATATGTCACCTGGCTTCAGCAGGTGAAACCATAGTTTCAGCTATATTCCTTTCACCTTCCCCTGGGTTATTTTGAAGCAAATCCAAGGTGTCATATTATTCCATTTATACATATTTGAGGGTGTACTTCAAAAGATAAGGATTCTTTTTTTAAGCATACCCACAATAGCATTTCATACCTAAAAATTAACAGTAATTATTTAATGTTAAATATCTAGTCATTGTCCAATTTTTCTGATTCTCTCCCCTTTTAAAATTTATTATTATTTTTTAATCCTCACCCAAGTATATATCTTTTGATTTTAGAGAGAGGAAGGAGAAGGAGAGGGAGAGAGAAACATCGATTGATGGGTTGCCTCTTGTACATGCCCCTATTGGGACTGAACCCACAACCTAAGTATGTGCCCTGACCAGGAATCCAACCCGTGACCTTTTGGTGCATGGGATGGCACTCCAACTGGCCAGGACTCTCCCCTTTTTTAAAAAAAAAATTATTTGGATCAAGATTCAAATAAAGTTCATCCCTTTCACTGTTTGGTATATCTCAAGTCCCTAACATAAAGATTTCCTTTTGCTCTTTATTCTTAGAATGTCTTTATTAAAGATACTTTTTTTGCCCTAGAGAATAAAATTTCTATTAGATTATAAACCCCTCAAATTTTTTTTTTTTACAATTATTCTTTTAGTTTTGTTGTTTAATATGACAGTCTGCCACATTGTAGATGTAGGATACTTGAAAATTATATGTTTAAATCACATTACTGTGTCTTATTAATTTGAACATTGTCAGATGCTCTTTCTTCGGTCAGGAAGAGTTACTCTTTCTGCATCTGAGAAGGGATGTTCTGATTAAATTATTGTACATAAATAACCACATAACAGTTCTGTTTGGAAATAATAATAGCCTTTTACCAAATGGCTATTATGCGCCTTACATAATGTGACCATTGGATTGGCTTTTACACCTCTGCAGTGTGGGCATGGCCGTCCCCCCATAGGTAGGGGAATGAGATTCAGCAAGGGGGGGGCATCTGTCTGAGGACATTCCTGCCTTCACAGTATGCCTCCTCCAGCTAAGAAATTGGGAAAATTTAATGGGCAGAAAAAATCATGAATTCTGTGTATGATGTATGGCTTAACAGTTGGAGCTCCTTATCCATCTTTTTCTTGATACAGCCTTAGCCTCATCATCATCGTAGGTCAGAAATAGGAAAGTACAGGCATGTGGCTGCCAAGGCCCTTAATGGCCCACCTCCAAAAGGGAGGGCACGGGGTGGTAGGAGAGGGCCCCCTTCCTGAGGTGCAGGGCAGAAAGACACACTTTGGTGGCATTAGCGGAGAAAGCAGGGTAAGAAGCAAGGCATTGTCACTTGTGTTATGTTTCCTTGTCATTGTGCTCCATTTTCATTAAGTGATGGGAGAATTTGACTTTCCCTGCAGCATATTGATAAAGTGTTCAAACATAAGGAACTGCAGCAACAGCTTGTGGATGCCAAGCTTCAGCAAACGACACAGCTGATAAAGGATGCTGATGAAAAACATCAGAGAGAGAGAGAGTTTGTAAGTTCTATTTCTCACAAAAGAAATTATTGCCTAATTGTAACCAAAGCCATTTAAAATATGTAAACTTATTCTACATATATTGTAGCACCTGGGTCATGCTAATTGTTTTTTTTTGCTCTAGATTGAGAAGGGCATGTGTGTGTTAGAAAGCAGTTGGCTTTTTATTTCTGTTTTTTTGTATAGAAGATTTACTAGAGAGATTAGACCACATTACTGGAAAGACCTGCACTTGTTTGATTTCCTGTGCTTAGAATATTTATTTCACTTTTAAGTAATGGTCACCAAGTTCAAGAATGATACCAGTGTTTAGTACATTTGGCAATTCAGTTTAATATCAAGCTTACCAAACACGGGTCTTATATAATACTGTTATATTTTGTTTTCAATAAAGTACCTTAAAACTAGGGAAACTATTTGTTTACTTACTTGCCTAATTTTCTGATAAAATTTTTAACAAAATTCTCTATGCCCTAATCACTCAGCATTGTTCTGAGAGTGTATGCTCAGATTATATTGCCTGTCAATAATTGTGAATACAATGGAATCTCATTGGGTGGGTATGTATATTTAACACGTGGAAAATCAACTATATGTGCTTAACTAAACAATAAAGTAAAAATGAGAAATGGTTATGATATGAAGACTGTTCATCCAGCTCTCCCTCAAATAGCCTAGGCCCCGAGGTGGGCGTGATATGAAGACTCGTTCCTGAGTGGCCCTCATGATGTGAACATGTCCTGTTGAGTGTGCGTGTAGGGTTAAGAGAGACACACTGTTCACACAGCGTGGGTCTGCCATGTGAATTGACAGTGCTATCCCATGTGTCATTTCCAGAGTTGGAGTGTAAGTTTCATGTACATACACACACACACATCACATGTATATGCTTTGTAGTTTATTTAAGGACTTTCGAGGCTTATTTGGACTATATGTGACATTTTACTTCAGGGACTGAATTTCACAGATGCCTACTATGCAACTTCACTATATAATTTTCTTGAAGCCCAAGTACATAAATTAAAGCTCCCATTTCCCTCTCCCCCACTTTTTAAGAAGTGGCCAGAAACCAGGCCTCTGATTTCATTGATTTGCTCCATACCCTTTCACCCTGCCTCTCATCTTGCCTCTGTGGAGTAGGGGCTTTCTAAAGCACCCAGATAATGTCAAGATTCCTAGCCATGTTTTTTGCTAATACTAGACTTCTAATTATTTTCACCTAAAACACAACAATTTAGCCCTGAGTTTTATAAACCTATTATTAGGCCTTCACGATACTTCTTCTAAGCTGTAACATTATTCCTACATTCCTAAGTGTTAACAAGTGGAACGGATCAAAGATATAGGTAACTGGCACTGGATGTAACAATATTTCATCTATATAGAGTTGGGGTTCTTGGTAAACTAATGAGTAGAAGGATTCGGCCTAACTGTTGTGTCATTTGACATTGTAGTCATATTTGTAATTACGATTAGTATTTTGCCAGAATGTTTCTGTTTTCTAGTTGTTAAAAGAAGCAACAGAATCGAGGCACAAATACGAACAAATGAGACAGCAAGAAGTACAACTAAAACAGCAGGTAACTTGACAGCAGGGTATAGTAGAATTTATAAGAAAAATCTATGGTTCATTGGATATATGCTTCAATCTCCCAAGATGCTTTTGCTTGTTCACAGCTAGAACTAAGAGTAGATCATGTGTCCCTCTTGGAGTTTTCCTCTTCATTTAGGGTCACCAACTCTTCCCCATTTGCCCAGGACTTTCCTGGCTTTAGCACTCAAAAGCGCTGCTGTATCCCAGGAAACACTTAGGTCTCAGGCAGACTGGGACGATTGGTCACACCATCTGCAGCACCCCCTTTTCAATATCCCAGGTATTTCCTCCCTTTCTCAGCCTGTTCCCATGTGTGTCAGCTAATTTCCTACTAAAGAAAAACTGATAAATCTTCAGATTTTAGTTCTTTTGTATTAAGCAGAGCCACATGAAATTGCTGAAACTTGACTTCTTTGACCTACAAAATGGCAATCTCATACAGTTTAACCTAAAATCTTTGAAAGTTTGTGCTCTGAGAACATAACTTATTTTTAAAACTTCCTGTTGGGACCATACAGCTCCACTTCCAGGTAGAGCTGTAGGGGTTGTGTTTTTAATGGGAGCCCTCCCTACTTTTTTTTTTTTTTTT